TAACACTGCACTGAGAGAGAGGGGTTCATACAGACACACTGACTGACTGGACACTCCAGTACATTAACACTGCACTGAGAGAGAGGGGTTAATAGTCCTATCACTATTAATAAAGGCACAAAGTGAGTGAGAACTACATTAATACCATTCCCTTTCAATAGTATTAATGGTTCAACATGCTTTCATGATTTACTATGAATATTAAAGTTTAAATTGAGTAACGTTTTATTCTGCTTGTACGTTGTGTGTTGATTGAGGATAAGACGGGTCACAAGCATGACCTGTCTACCTTGTTTGATAGTATATAAGAGGTCCCAGGATCTCATCCAGCCGTCTCTTCTGAGAAGTCAGCGTATCGGCTTCTACAACATGGCTGGGTAGCTTGTTCCACACTCCCACCACCCTCTGTGTAAAAGGCGTCTGTGTTCCTTCCATCTGAGGCCTGACCATAAGTGAATGGATTTGAATCTTTACATATAAACATGTTTTTCCCCTCTCCAGCCCTCCGTTCGCCTCACGCCCACCATGATGCTGTACGCAGGGAAGTCACCTGATGGGAGTCACATTCTTGTAAGTCTTCCCGTGGGATCTTTGTGGGAATGTCCCTCTTGTCATTGTGATCTGTACAGGGGTACCTCTTTAACTCTTTCCTTAATGCGGGGGGGTGTCCGATCCTGGTCCTGGAGGGCTGGTGTGTACCTGCACACTTTTTCACTCCGGCTCCGCTCGAGACGAGCTTCACTGGGTCAGCTGGATTCTCTGGGTCAGCTGGGCAGCAGCTCCCGGCTCGGCAGGTCCTGCTGCTCTAAAGAGACCTGGAAATCCTGTGGACACGGCGCCCCAACCAGGATCGGGACAGGACTGCCCTGGCTTCAGGTTATCGGCTGGTCATACTCAGAATGCAGAAATAAAGCGAGTCCCTTCAGCCTTGCCTGGTATTTCCTCCCAGCTCAAAGCTCAGCCTCGTTTCTACAGCTGAACCCCTTAAATTCCTGGCAAGATGGCTGTCCTGGTAGAATCCTGTTTGTATTAGAACTTGGGACAATGTGGAATTCGACTGAAGCCGAAGATACTTCCTGAGAAATATAAATTCAAGAAGTATTTTGAAATCTCTTTGACAGATTGGTGATGCAGTGCTTGGCACCCCATAATACTGACCACTGGGTTTAATGCTTGGGGTGCTAAATATGTGGAGTTTGCATGTTCTCCCCATATTCGCGTGCGTTTCCTCTGGTTGCTCTTGTTTCCTCTCGCAGTCCAAAGACATGCTGGTAGGTTAATTGGATTCTGGGAACATAGCCCCTGGTGTGTATGTGCCTTGCGGTGGAGTGGTGTCCTGTCCAGGGTGTACCCTGCCCTGCACCTGTTTCTTGCTGGGATAGACTCCCGCTCTCCCCTGACCCCGTACTGGATAGAGCTGTTAGTAGATGTGTGTGTGTGTGTGGGGGGGGGGGAAATACAAGCTTTGGAACTGTTTGTGTGGAGATCTGAAACATTGTCTTGAACAAAGGGACATTTGTTCAAAGGGACAAAGGGAAAATTGTCAAGAATAGAGATCGAATGGCACTTGTAAGACCAGTTACCAAACACGTGGTTGTCAACTCGCTACGATGATGAAGTTGATGTCTGAGATTTATCACGGTCTGTAACGTCAGTCGCCTGGGGTCCGCCCTCTGACCTCTGTTCTTCCTCTGCAGAAGAGCGCCAGGTACCTGCACAAGGAGCTGCCGGTCCGCATCGCCCACCGCATCAAGGCCTTTCGCGGCCTGCCCTTCATCATCGGCTGCAACCCCACCATCCTGAGGCTGGTGAGTGGGAAGGGTCCCAGGACCTCTGTCAGGGGAGATCTGTGCTAGAGCCCTCTGTGAGGGAGACCTCTGTCAGGGGAGATCTGTGCTAGAGCCCTCTGTGAGGGAGACCTCTGTCAGGGGAGATCTGTGCTAGAGCCCTCTGTGAGGGAGACCTCTGTCAGGGGAGATCTGTGCTAGAGCCCTCTGTGAGGGAGACCTCTGTCAGGGGAGATGTGTGACAGAGCCCTGGGCGAGTGTCCCAGGATCTCTGTCAGGGCGGGGCTGCAGTCTCAGGACAGAGCCCTAATGTGGTGCTACAAGGCGGAGGAATAGTGCAATGTGAGGAGAACAGGTGCAGTGTAAGAAGAGGAGTGCAGTGTGAGCCTTCAGGCAGCAGAGGAAAAAACCAGCACAGCAGCTTCATAATGTCACAGGAGTTACCTGTTGCCCAGCCTTGCCGATGACCAGTTTTGACCAACACTATTAATGTACAGTACCTGTGTCATTCACCAGTACTGGGGTGGTCGGGGGTGAACTGTGGCTCACTGGGCTCAGAGTCCAGTGATTAGGCACGGGCTTGTCCAGGCTATTCGACAGCAACCTGGAGCAGAACAGGAGTCCCAGGTGGACAGAGTGTGTATGAATTTATCAGTGACCACAGACCCAGGCCGCCGTCCTGTGACATTTGCAGGAGATACCCGTCAGCCAGCACAATTAATGTACCTGTCGTGTCTGTTCAGTACCCCGTCAGTGCCCCTGCTGTAGAGTGAGATTCCCTTCAGATCAGCAGTCTCTCTGGTGGCTGCTCTTGCTCCTGTTTAGAGCCTGTAGGCACTTTTCTTCCGGCTGCCAGACCAGAACCGCTCTTTTTCTGTCTTTCCAGCACGAGCTGTACATCCGTGCCTTCCACAAGCTGAGCGAATTCCCCCTGGTGAGTCTGACCCACGTGAAGCCGCATTCCAGTTTTCCCAAACAGGATTTTTCACGACTCCAGTGACACAATTCCTATGGTTAGATCTGACCTTCCACTGGTGGGGCAGTGATTAACATTGCTGCCTGGCAGAGCTGGGGCCCTGGGTTCAATTGCTGGGGCCATCGGTGTGGAGTTTGCATGTTCTCCCGAGTTCTTGTGGGTTTCCTCCCACTGTCCAAAGACATGCTGGTGGGTTAATTGGCTTATGGGAAAATTGGCTCTGCTGTATGAGTGTGTGTCTGTGTGTACCCACTGGTGTACCTTCCAGGGTGTATCCTGCCTTGTGCCCATTGCATGCTGGGAGATAGACTGTTGCAGATCCCTCACAAGTACTCCTGACCACCCTGGCCAGAAGGCACTGTGAGTTACTGGATTCCCTGCCTCTTGCAGATCAATGACCATGAGACGGAGGCAAAGTACTGCCAGCTCCTCCGGAGACTGCTGGATGACCATAAGGATGTGGTCACCTTGCTGGCTGAGGGCGTCAGGGAGAGTCGCAAGCACATACAGGTACGAGCACAGGGACAGAACGGAGAGAGAGAGAGAGGACAGACGCACATGGGGTGCAGAACGGAGACAGGGCTTCAGGGAAAGCCTCCCACACAGGACCTCAAACACCCGAAGACCCCAATCATAAGCTTCTGCTTCGTGAGGCAGCGTGGGGGCAAGGAGCTGGGGAGGAGTTCACCTTGTTGCTGTTTTTGTCCTGCACCAGGAGGAGGCGGTAGTGAGGCAGTTCCTGGACAAGACCCTGACATCCCGTTTGGGAATCCGCATGCTGGCCACTCACCATCTGGCGCTGCACGAGGACAAGGTGAGTCCCAGGACGGGATCGCCAACCGGTTTGTGTTCCTTACCGTCAGCGTGTCGGCTGACCCCTCTCTCTGGCCTCAGGCTGACTTCGTCGGGATCATCTGTACCCGCATGTCTCCCAAGAAGGTGATCGAGAAGTGGGTGGACTTCGCCAGGTAACCACAGCCTGTCCGCGCCCGCGCGCTGTGTGGCCTGGAGCCTGCCTGGGTGTGCTTGAACCCCTCTCTCTGTCCCAGGCGGCTGTGCGAACACAAGTACGGCAGTGCGCCGCGCGTTCGGATCAACGGCCACGTGGCGGCCCGGTTCCCCTACATCCCCATGCCTCTGGACTACATCCTGCCGGAGCTGCTGAAGAACGCCATGAGGTCAGGCTTCCCATCATCCCTCTCTCTGCCCGATCCCATTCCCGCTTCTCCAGACTTCTCTCTCTCTCTCTCTGCTTCTGCCTCTGCCCATCCCCATTCCCAATCCCGCTTCTCCAGACTCCTCTCTTTGAAGACTCCAATCCCATCGTTCAGTGTTGAATGACAGTCAGCAGGTTCCTATGGATCCTGCTGCTGCCGGTGTTTTGCTGTTGTTTGAAAGACGCACATCAGACATCTCCAGTCTCACTCTGTGCCTGTGTGTCCCTGCACAGGGCCACCATTGAGAGCCACCTGGACACTCCCTTCAATGTCCCGGACATTGTGGTCACCATCGCCAACAACAGCGTGGACATCATCATCAGGTCAGTGCTCGCTCCTGGTGAGTCTGTCTCTCTGAGTGGACATCATCAGCAGGTCGGTGCTCACAGCTGACGTCTCCACTCCTCCAAGGCCACGGTGTCCTCTGGTTCCCCTCAGGCCATCGAAATTTACACAGTGGTGGCTCTTGTACACTCCTTGGGCTCTGCTGTGTCCCGCTATTGCTGTCCCCTAGACGTTGGTCCTACCCCTCTCAGTGCACTGTTAACGTTCTAGGATTTCGGACCGCGGGGGAGGGATTCCTCATGAGATGATGGAGAAGGTGACGGACTATCACTTCACCACAGCAGAGAGCAGCACCCAGGACCCGCGGCTGGGAGACCTGATGGGCAACATGGTGGATATGGTGAACAGTGGACAGTCCAGCCCCATGCATGGGTAAGAGAACAGTGTTTCCTTATCAACCCCTCTCTCTCAGTGCAGTGTTAATGTACTGGAGTGTCCAGTCAGTCAGTGTGTCTGTATGAGCCCCTCTCTCTCAGTGCAGTGTTAATGTACTAGAGTGTCCAGTCAGTCAGTGTGTCTGTATGAGCCCCTCTCTCTCAGTGCAGTGTTAATGTAGTGGAGTGTCCAGTCAGTGTGTCTGTATTAACCCCCCTCTCTCTGTGTAGGTTTGGGTTTGGACTGCCCACCTCAAGGGCCTATGCGGAGTACCTAGGTGGCTCTCTGTCTCTGCAGTCCCTCCAGGGCATCGGCACCGACGTCTACCTGCGGCTCCGACACATCGATGGCAAGGAGGAAAGCTTCCGCATCTGAGCCCTGTCCTTGCTCTGTTCACACTAGACATCAGAGCCACCCTAGACCCTACACAGCGGTGCACACCACATGCTCCCTTCCATACACGCTGGCGACACTGCCCAGCTCCTCTTGCACATGCCCAGACAGACCTACAGGA